TATATATATATTTATGTATAGTTTTAGTATATAGCAAATAGTTGACGAGTGTTTCAAAGTTGTTGTTAATTTATCTTCCTCTTCTTCTGCTGCTGCTTCTTCTTCTTCAACTTGTCTTCTCTAGTAGGTTCAAATAGTCGTACTTGTTGTTGTTGTTGTTTGTGGGTAACATTACGTCATACATTATAGCAGTAAATAGGTATCGTAGCTGTTCATGTTGTTTTTCTTCGTGTATGTGTGTCTGTGTGTGTATGTGTGTGTGTGTGTGTATAAGCAACGTGGGTTCACTTTATCAGTTCAAGAGGTTATGTGTAATATACACAAGTGTGTGTGTGTGTGTGTGTTTGAGAGAGTGTATCTTTGTGGGAGAGCAGCGGTGTGTTTGTGTGAGAGAGTGAGTGTCAGCGTGTGTGTATGTGTGAGAGTGGCTGCGTGTGTGTCTATGTGTTTGTGTGTGAGAAAGTGTCTCTATGTGTGTGTATGGGGCTTGAATAGTTTAGGAGACGGAGTTCTAATTAACTAAAGCAACTTTTAATAAACAATCTTGTGTACAATATGCACATACACATCTATATATATATATACACACACATATGTATATATATGTAGATCTATGCATATATAAATATATGGTCACAAATAGTCGTTACACAAATAAGCCACAAACTGTACAAGAATTTTGTACATGTACAATAAAAAACTTATACACGAAAACCCTTAAATTGCATCAATTCGATTTTCGATATCATTTTAATCGATATTCATCGAGAGCGTTACGATTACGACGGTTTCAAAGTATGTTGCTAGGCTATTTAATTCTTTCTATTTATATATATATATATTCTTTTTTTCTTTTATTCATATATCGATATCGAACATACACACACGATGATTCAGTTTTTGGTTTTTGTTTTGTTTTTTGTTTTTTCGTATATAACAAGAACGGTTATTTGTTATTATTAATTAGTTTATTAGTTTACTATACAAATGTCTCATGTTTTGAATGCACAATTTGCGCATGTCCACATAAGTTAATTTATTTAAATTTAGATTTAATTTATTTTTTTTTTTTTCATTTACTGAGAACACAGTTTACCATATAAATATTTAAAGCTTTTGTGGCGGCAAAAAAAGTGAAGAAATTGTCAATTTTGTATAAAAGCAAAACGAAAAATTCCTCCAAAAACCAAATCAAGGATTTCAGTTTAGTTACGAGTTAGACGACGAATTGAAGACCGCTTTAGTATATTATTTATCCTGGGTTTTTTTTTTTTTTTTGTTTTATACACATACATACATATACAACCAAAAGGTTAACAACTAACAGAAATCAATAATAATAATAATAATTAACAGTGTTTAATTTTTTTTTAGTTTTTGTTTTGGTTTTGCGTTTTGATTTGTTTGGGTTTTTAGTTTTTGTTTTGTTTACCAAAAATGAGGCAAAGTCGTCGTAATCATATCTCATACAATACAATACAATATATATATATAGATATATATATATATATATGTGTGTGTGTGTGTGTGTGTGTGTGTATGCAATTAGTACTGAACTTTACAAGTTTTGGCAGTACGCAATTTGTTGTATTTTATTTTAAATGTTCTCATTTGTTGTAATAGTTTAAAATTATGCAAATATACAATGTTGTTTGTCATCGTTTTTTATGCTTTTTTTTTTGTATTTCTCATAAATCGTAAAGCATTTATGATTTAGTTATTTTGTTATTAAAATATACTCATAACGCGCTACTTAATTGTTTAAAAAGTTTTTGGTTTTTTAGTTTTTGTTTTCTTTTTTTTCCATTTTGTATATTAACTAATATTAATAAACAAATTTTAACATTTCTCGTTCAACAGTTTTTTTTTGTATTTTTTTTTTAATTCTGTTTTTTTCTTTTTTGCCAAATAGTTTTTCTTTTGTGTTTTTTAACTGATCGCACCCAAGAACTCGAACTGAAACAATCCGAAATGATAAATAAATAGAAATAATTGGCCCAAAGCGTAAACAAGACGGAACTCGCTGGATTTTTGCTTTTCCTTTCGCTAGTTATAAACAATAAACATTTGTAGGTTATGTACAACTTTTCTGCGACTTGCTTAAATTTCAAGATGGCGTATAATCCTACGTATGTATGTGGTAGCGTGTGTGTGTGTGTGTGTGTGAGTAGTTGTAGTAGTAGTAGTAGTAGTTGTAGTGTTGTTAATAGCACTGCGCTTTCGGTGTTGGATAGTGGACCTGTCTGCATTATCCACAGATCCTCGTGGATTCCGTTGATCGTTTAGTTAATTACTAAAGTTCCGATTTAGTGTTCATTTAACTGCTATCACTTTTCGTTTGTTAATTTTAATTGTTTATCCTTTTTTAATATTAATTCTTGTCCTTTTCTTTTTATATATATAATAAAATACAATTTGACTAAACGAAAGTTCTTTCATACAATATTTTTGCGGAAATTTCAAAGTTCTTTTTTTTCCGGGTGTATTTGGGAGTGGGGGGGGGGAGTAGTGGGAGGGGGAGAAGGGGAACAACACTCATTTTAGCTAGTTGTATGTATATTATGTGTATAATATAATGCATTTCTTGTTTCAATTCATTTCAATTATATTTCTTGTTTATATTATTTGTTTGTTTTTTCATTTTTAATTTTTAGGCTGTCTTTATAGGAATTTTTAATCATAATTTCTCCTTTTCTTTTTCCTGCAATAGAAACAAATTGCAAAATCGCATGAGTCAAGAGATTTGAGTCAAATGGCACTAGAAACATATCGAGTTCAAAGTTCAACCGAAAAAAAAAACTAAATGCATGGGACGATCGGCAATCAATCAATCAATCAATTAGTTAAATCTCAAAAATACATGACAAGAAAATTTACGTTTGAGACAAACAAAAAAATGATAAATTCAAAAGTACAAAACGAAAATTTTACAAATTTTATACTTTTTTTTTGTTGGTTGCATTTTTGTTGTTGTTGTTGTTGCTGGTACAAATATTAGGCTACTTGTTGTTAATATTATTATTGTTATAGTTGTTGTTGTTGTTGTTGTTTTCGGTTGCTTTGCTGAACGAACGCTGGGCTTTCATTTTGATAGGTGGAATTGCATTTGGATTTTGCATTTTGGTAATCAACTGTAATTGTTTTTAATAGCGAGCGATAGCGACAACAATCGATTCAATCAATCAATCAATCAATCAATCAATCAAGCTGCAGGCTGTTGCATTTACCTATTTAACTTATGCATTAATTATTTACTTATTGCGAATTTTATCAACTACGGCATACGGCATACAATTTTGCGACAATTGTTTGTTTTAGACGATTTTTGTTTTTGGTTTGGTTTGGTTTGGTTTTTCACATTATGGGGAGGGGGGAAAAATAAGAAAAGAATGAAATACAATTCGATTAGCTTTTCATGATAATTAGCTAACGCACATTTCTTGGCACTACGAATACGACGTTTACGTCTATGAAAAGCTCAACTCAAGATAAATCAAGCACAACACAATATCTATAAAGGAAGCGCTTCAGCACATGGACACATCGAGAAAAACAAAAACGAGCCCAAATTCGTTTCGGACTCAAATTCGAAACTTGCGAGTTAATACTGTTTTTTATACAAGTGTGTGTGTGTGTGTGTGTGTGTGTGTGTGTGTGTGTGTGGGTGAGCAAATCGATCTCTATAAGATATCAAGCTAATACATAAGCCAAATCAATATCGTTTTTCAAATAATATAATGCACTACACAATATATAATATAATACAGAGAGGACATTAAAAATGCGTGTATTTCAATTGTTTTTTTTTTTTTGTTTAATTTACATTTGTTGTTTTTTTTTATTCCTTTTGTAGAAATCAATCTCAAAACGCACAAAATCATAAGCGAACAAATAGCACAAAAGTGTTTTCATACAAAATTTAAATGTAATTATAATAATAAAAGACGCCAGAAATCAGTTGTAAACATAGCGGTAAACATATATACGAAATTATGATCAAATCAAAAATAATGTAAGAGAAAGAAAAAAAACAACTGAAAACGGAAAACCGAAGAAAACTGAAATAGAAACAAAAAGAAAAAGTGCGCAAAGAAAACAAATACTTTTCTGTGTGTGTTGTGTGTGTGTGTGTGTAAATTGATGTGTGTACAAACTAATTAGATATAGGCGCTCGCAGTGTGCTCTACAAATTACAATCAAAAACAAAAAGGAAAAGAAAACATAAAATCCAAAGAGAAATGATAAAAATAAAATAAAACTGCAATTAAGAAAAGTTTGCTTTAATCTAGTTGTAGCCGTGTGTTTGTTGTTGTTGTTGCTGTTGTTGTTGTTGCTGTTGTTGTTGTTGTTGTTGTTGTCGTGTTATTGTTATAAACAAAATTTATTGCCAACTTTAAGCTTAGATAGTCATAATAATATACATAAGTAACGATATAGATTGATAAACTTGTGTGTGTGCGTGTGTGTGTGTGTGTGTGTAGTTTCAAGGCGTGGCTAATTATTTAAATTAGAATTAAACAATAAGTACTTAAAACAAAGTTCATAACATGTTCTTTTTTTGTTTTTGTTTTTGTGTTTTTTTCTTCTTCTACTTTCCGATCTGAATAATGCACTCGATACAAAAAGGAAATTTTGTGAAAAAGAAAAACAAATGAAAAACAAAAGCGCAGCAAACAATAAAAGTTTTTCTTTTTTTTTAACAAACAATTTTTCGACATTGAAATCATAAGGCATACTTTTATATATATATATATATACTTGTATAATTAATATATAGTATTTATATGGCTATAAAACTACGCTCAGTGTGTAAGAGTGTGTGTAGGTGTGTGTGTGTGTGTGTGTAAGTGTGTGTGTATTTCTGTCAGTTTTTAAGCACAAATTGTGTTTGTTTTTCTTTCGTTTAGCACACATTTTAATAATTTTTGTGTTTGTTTTTTTGGGCAGCACATAAACAATAAATTTAATTAAGTTTTATTTTATTTTATAGTTTATATCTATTTTTTTTTTTTTTGTGGCACGCAAAACCTGAGCCAGCGTCTAAATAAATTGTGCACTAAATCATATTTAATATGTATTCATTTATAATACAAATAAAAAAATGGACAAAATAGAAAAGTTATATAAAAAATGATTATTTTTTTTTAGCTGGACTTTTTGTTGTGCGCGCCACACACAACAAATGATTTGTGCATTGATATTTTGTTGTTGTTTTTATAATATTAATTGTTAACTAAGAAGAAAATTTTGCTAAATTTGTTGTTGTGGCTGCTGCTGCTGTGTCTGTGTGTAAGTACGTCGCTTGTGTGTGTGTGTTGTGTGTGTGTTGTTGTGTGTGTGTTTGTTTGTTGCGCATTTGCGAATGCAGCTTCAAACGTCTTTAATTTGCAGTTTTATTAACTAAAATGTAAATTTTAAGCTGCATTTCAAAATGTTGTTACAATTATTTGGTGTTGTTGTTTTTGTTGTTGTGGACTGCTTGTTGTTGTTGTTGTTGTTGATTTCTTGTATTGTTGTTGTTGTTGTTGTTGTTGTTGTCGTTGTCGTTGTTGTTGGCAACTTACTGTTCTTGGGGATCAGTATCACTCTCCTCCAGCTCGCTCTTGTTGCGTCGCTTCTCGTAGATGAGAATGATCAGGCAGAGAATCAGGACCTCGGCGCAAATGCCCAGGAAAGGCCACAAGGCGGCGAATTTGCCTAACAAATAGAAACATTTATATATATATTATATCGATCAACATATATATGTGTCTAATTAGTTGATTGTTCTTTCAGCCGGCTGGCGAACAGACTCACCCTTAACACGAACGGTCGTAAAATCGGTGGCAACGGTGCTATTACCATAATCATTGGCCTCGTTGCGTCCGTGGCACTTGAACTCGCCTCTGTCGTCCAGGGTCACGTTCTCGATCATTAAAATTGCGTTCTCAATTTTATTATCATCCGATTTTAGTATATAACGATCTGTGCTGTTTGTTATATTTGTGTAATTGCCTGCAAATAAGATAAGTAAGAAATCAAAGGTTATTATCAACATTTGCTTTGGTTCATTTCATTTGCCTGGATTTGCACAAACATTTCTTAATGCATTTCAATTGAATTTCGAATGTCCTTTTAATATCTTCAAGGTTCTCTTGCTTCTTCTTTCCTTAACGCAGCATGCTGCTCTGCAATTCCCAATTAGTTTAAGCTTTGACAAAAGCTGCTTAGCTTTTGTCTATCCCTTTTTTATAGTCTTGCAAAGCGTATCATAATTGTATTCAGCATAGAAGGAAACATCTCCGAAACCATAAAGCATATATAAATATAATCTGAGTCAGCATCAGCGGACGAGTTGTTATAGCCATGTCGGACTAATTTTGCACTTTAAAAGCTTTTGTCTCGAAACTTTGCATAGGTTCTTCTTTTTCTTGCACGCAGCTAGAACTGGCCGGCTCGGACCACTATAGCATATAGCTGCCATATTTTGTATGGAAAAGTTTTTTGTTTGTTAGCATATTTCGTCCAAGCTCTCATAATAAATATCTTGACTATGCATCCTACATTAATGCAAAATCCTATCTAGATCGGAGCACTATATCTGATAGGAACAATCGGTCGAGTATAAGTTGCTGGATTGAGCCAAAATATCTTGAACAAACTTGACATTTATAAATCTCACCAAAATAAATCTACTAAAAATTAATTTGAATACGTTTTGTCGTTTCGTTTCCCATATGGCACAGCACTCACCAAAGCTCCATGACAATCGGGGATTGCTACCGACAACTGTGCAGGGGATCATCATTTTCTCACCCTCGACAACACCAGTATTTGAAGGCACTCGTACGACCACGCGAGCTAATTGTTGATAATTAATTAATAATAATCATTATAATCAATATTTGATGCGACTTACCGATCACGTGAATATCTCTGGACACGCCCTTGAACTCACAAGTATAGAGGCCGTCGTCGTGAGGTTCCGCTCTGTCAATTATGAACTTTCTTTCGGGATGGATCAGTTTGAAGCGACCTCTCAGACTTAGCACGTCCGTCACGTTGACGCCATCCTTTTTCCTGTCGATAACACAAAGAGAATGAATTTAAGACACAATGTTTTATTTATGAAACAATCGATAGTACGTGTGCACAAATATCGATAGTTTTCTGTGCGTAAATAGTTGCTGGAACACAAATATCCATAATTTGCTAAACAAGTTTTGGCTTTCGAAAAAAGTCCTTAAGAGTTATCGATAATGGGTTCATATGTTTATCGATTAAAGCCTCCCAACGGCTATCCGACAGAAACTATCGATAACTGCTCTCACAAAGTTTTGGCTTTCGATATAAGGTTTTGAAGGACCACATGTCTATCTATTATATTCTAATCGAGCTCAGTTAAAGCCTCCTACTGCTATCTGGCATAAACTGTCGATAACAGCTCTAACTATCGTTCAAATTATTGCTTTTAATCGGCTTTAAAAGCTTAAGTAATCGAACTATTTGTTTTATCTTTTCTGGGAATGGGAATAAGAGCTTTGTAAGCTTAGGAGTAGGAATACTGCTCTTGTTAGAAAAAGAAGGACCTCTTCTCTCGTTAGCCAAATTCCAAATTCCTTTTGTTTTCGTCAAGAACTTTTGGTGCCAATTATTCAGGACTAATTCAACATGAGGCACGCACGCAAAGCGTCGGCCCTGGCCCAGGCCCGTGTCCGGGCCCGAGACCAAGCGACCGACACAAAGTGTCATTACCATTACGAGGCTGCTTCACACTCGCACACACACACTCGCACACACACCCGCACACACACTCGCACAAACTAGAGTCGGAAAAGGCCCTCTTCCGGCAGGCGGGCAAGTCTTTCGGGCAATTTTTAATACAAGCCCGCAGTAAGCCGTAACCCATGCCCCCCAAACTATGCTATGCTCTGCTCTCCAGGTTACGTCAGTCAAGTGTTCGGTTAGGGGGCGGGGCACGTGGTGGGCTTGCGGTCGGCAACATAATTAAGCAAAAGTGCTTAGCTGTGCCATATTAAAATGATTGCTCTTATAACTGCCAACTAGTATGCTGAGCCAGGGGAGCTGCCTGCCAGCCTGCCTGCCTGTCAGTTCCTGTTGGCCAGTGTTGCGCAACACTGCAAGAAAATCACTACAGTTTTCAGTGTTTCTAAAGGCTTCAAATTGCAACTAGTTGTGGGATTTAATTCAATTTTCCCATTAAAGTTAACAAATTCATTTTTTTCTGCAGAAATTGACAACAAAATAAGACCCAACTGTCTACAGCATAAGTTTTTATGGGCCAGTGTTGTGCAACAACAAATTCTTATCAATTTTCAGTGCTTGTAAAGGCTTCAAATTGCAGCTAGTTGTGGGATTTAATTCAATTTGCCTATTTGTTAAAACAAAATAATCCCAAATTTAATACAGTACACCCTTTTTTTCAGGAGTTTGGGTTATTTAATTTGGATTTAGTTGGACTTACCATATGAGTGGATCATCGGACTCCACATTTTTCACATTGCAGCTGAGCACAAGCGGCGTTCGGATATCGTAAAATCTCATTTGACGCTCCACATGGTCATAATTTGGCACCAAGGAATCTGGCCCTAAATTTGATAAGGATGACAGGAGCGAGAGACAGCGAGACGGGGGGGAGAGAGAGAAAATAAACAAGAGAACACATGAAAATTAGTGCAAATATTTAACAAGAAAAATATATATACATATATACGAATCGTATGTCATATAAAAGAGTAGAAGAAGGCAACAACGTTTACATAAATAAATGCTTAAACAAATTTATGTCTAAATAGTTATGCATATAAAAAAAAAAAACGAAGAGAGACTAATAAATAAATATATGGTCTGAAGAGTATGGCATAAATATTACGAGTTTTTGGTTGATAAATTCAAGAGGCGAGCGCTTAACATATTTATATGAGAGGTACGGCTAGGGCTAGGGCTGGGGAAAGGGAATTCTTGTGGGCGGGGCTAGCGCAGGTTTACTTTATTCGTATTTGGTTTTTGGGTTCCGAGAGCAAGAAATGAGCTGAGATGTCGTTTCGATTTTGTCATTTGGTCACTTTCTAGTTAACAATTAAATCAAATTGAAAACTAAACAACTGCAACTGCAAAAGAAAACTATAACACACAATTTCTAGTTGTACCAAAAATAAAATAAATAAATATAGCTCTATAAATGGCAAAAAACACAATAGTTTTTTTGATATTGATTTGTTTTTGTGTGCCCCACATATAAATCACCCAAATAGTAAAATCAACTAAAAACAATTGAAATAAATAAAAACAGCATACAATAATTTGTTTATTGGTGAATTTCGAATTTTATTACGCCTAACAATACATATGTAGTTAGATATTTTTAAAATGATTTTTTATTTTTATTTTTTTTTATGTATATATATTTCTTTAAACTTGGACTGAAATCAAATAAATTTGATTTACGCGACGTTTATGTAATTTATGTAAATGTATTTAATTCGTTTTCACGGTAATTACAATAATTAATTGAATTATTTTTAAAATTAGCTGTAAATGGAGCAATAATCGTTGTTTTGGTATTTAAATACTAAATGTTGTCTATCGAAATGCGCAAAGCAAGGCAAAGGCAAAGGCAAAGCAAAAGCAACAGCCAAAAATATCGATAACCGATAAGCGATAAGTAACACACATGTATTCGATTTGCCATTATCGGCAAAACAAGAGAGAAACGAAAATAAAATAATAATAAAACAAAAGGCAATAAACATAAGGTCACGTTTACACAGCCATTGGGGCCAAAACAACACGGCTTATCACAAGCGGCTGAGAGCCAATTCTGAATTACACATGAATTTAATATGCGGCAACAAAATGGCTGCCAATCAATCAAATTGAAGATATGCAGGCCGATAGAGTGAGAGAGAGAGAGTGGAAAAGAGAGCGAGAGCGAATAGAGCGCTGTGCACCTGCCAACGGTGTGATTCAAAATCAGAGGTAAACAACTTAAATATATAAATTGAGTAAAATATATATATAAATAGCAACAATGACAACAACAATAGCGACACACAAAAATCAAATCCAATATTGTTACACACAAATAAATCAAAACAAATATATGTCAAGCAACAACTATTAAAAGCTCAACTTAAAGTTTGCCTGTATTTATCATGTATGTGTCTGTGTGTGAGTGTGTGTGAGAGAGGGAACAAGGTTAAGTAACGGCGAATTGTCAAAGCCTAAGAGAGAGAGAGAGAGAGAGAGAGAGAGAGAGAGAGCTATCGAGCGATTAACGATTAACAACACCAAAATAGACTGACTGATGTGGGAGTTTGAACAATGTGAGACGTGCTGATAACGTTAGAGGAGAGCGAGAGAGCGAGAGCGGAACGAGAGCATGGCAAGCGAGTACGGGCAAAAGAGCGAGGCTTAGACAAAAAAAAAATAAACTGGACGAAAATGAGTTTTAATGCGAGCGCAATGTGTGAAGTTTTTGTTGTTGTTGTTGTAGAGGCAAACAAGAGAACAACAACAACAGCAACAAGGCGAATGACTGTTTATTGGAGTTTGTATGTTTGTGTAGTTAGTATTGTGATTACTCGCTCAGTTCACTTAAGCGGTTCAGTGAACCAACAAATCGTTCACTTGAGTTTCAATTATCGTTCAGTACTAGTTCTAGTTCAATTTACGCAAGCAGCTCAGTGGTTCACAAAGTAGTTCACCTTGGCTACACTATGCAACAAAAATGAGCAATTTTCGTGTTGTTTATTTGTAATCGAATAAATTGCTAACCAATTCCAATGTTCATAAGCTACTGAGGCTGTTGATAGATGCTCAAATGAACTACTGCACAAAATTGTTACTCAAATATATTTCATAAATTTTATTTTGTTTGCAAGTGTACCAAATGTTGGTCACCTTCTTAAACCGCACAATTGAATGAAATGTGAGTGAGTTTTTGAGCGAACTTTGACTTGTTTGATTTAGAGTATGTGTTTTTGAGTAACTATATTTTTTCCGACTGAGCTGGGAGCTGCATTATGTGACTTTGAGTGGAATATGAGAATGTTTTTATGAATGTGATTTTGAGTGAATGTGTTTTGATGTGTGAGTGTGTGTGTGTGTGTGTGTGTGGCTCACCCTTTTTAATAGGCATGAACGTCTTGGGCTGCTGCTGCATTAACCCGAAGTTGTTGTTGTTGTTGTAGCTGGTGGTCAGCGCGGTGGGCGCTGCTGTAACGGTACCGGCACCACCCAACGCTGGCGGTATAAATTGCGGTGCATACGTCTGATATTTTTCATTTTGATGATGCTGCTGCTGCGCAGTCGGCTGATGTGGCTGCGGTGGCAGCGGCAGTTGATAAGCGTTAAGTGCATGCTGATGCGCATGATGATGCGCTGTGCTGCTGCCGCTGCTGCTGCTGCTGACTGTGGCAGAGGCAGCGCCGGCGGCGTTGGCGTTGGCTGTGGCAGTGTCCATTGACGGATGGCGATAATGCGGCAGCGTCTGATTGTATAGCTGTATGGTGGGCGGCTCGGGTGGCGCCACCGTATGCTCCAGCAGGGTGAGACGAGGCGGCGGAAAATCAGGCGGCGTGGCCGAATAAATGCGATGAATGGAGCCCATGCCGATGCCCTGGCCCGTGCTCGTTGCATGCCACGGCAGCGTGGTCAGATCGTTGTATTTACGCGTCGGCAACGGCGGCTCATAGCCAAAGCCAAAATGGCTGCCATAGCCGAGACTGGCATTGCCCAGCTGCTGCTGCTGCTGCTGCTGCTGATTGTTGTGCTGCTTATGCGTGGGCAGCGCTGCCGATGGCAGCTGCGGCATCTGCTGCTGTTCCTGCCACGTGCGCGTAAAGATCTCGTCCGGCGAGCTGGGCGTCAGCTCGTCTATGGTCCGATAGCCGCTCTCCGTGGGCGACTCCTGCTGCTGCTGCTTGCTGCGCACGTGCAGCATATGATAGCCGCTGTTGTGGCGATAGTTGTTGTTGTTGTTGTTGTTGCACTGATAACGGCCCTCGTGCACCTTGAGGGCGTGCCGCACCTTTAGATGTGCCTCGATTTTGTGCTTCTCGCCTGAAGAGTTGTTCTTCAATTGCCTGCCTCTTCTTCTTCACCATCATCATCATCATCTTGCTCATATATACTCACCCTCAATGGCGCTCTCCGAGAGCGTGTACGAGTGCTCGTCATGGCCGTGCCGCAAATTGTGCCGTGTTATCGACTCGCCGTTCTTCAGCCAGTGTATCTTCTCGGTTATCGGTATGACACAGGTTATCGAAAATGGCTCGCCGATATTCACGTTCGCATCGCCATAGTAAACAATCGGCGTTGTGGCGAGTGCAAACTCTGCCGACTCGTCGCTGTCATTCGCAATGACACTCGCTGCATTTTGTTTTCGGGTCACAAATTTGCATATATACATATATATATATGCATATATGCATATATATATATAGAACACACACAGAGCAAAAAGGTTACAACAAATCGATATATCGATAAATCAAATAGCGACAAAGAAGTGGGGATTGGGGTGAGGCGAGTTGGGGCAGCACAACACAGTGTAGAAGGCGATCGCAATTGAAAACCATAATCGAAAATCAAGAAAACATTAACAATTAACAATACCAAAAAAGAAATAAACGATTATGTGTTCTGTTTTGCCATAATTAATTAGTCTTTTACAATCCATAAAATATGCTAACGATCCGTTTGTGTGTGTTTTTTTATCGGTTACTTTTGTTTGCTTTTTTTCTTTCGTTTTTTTTTTTTATGTGATTCCAGTATTCGGATTATTTGATTTCAGCGCCAAGTTGCAAAAATATTTATGTATGCATCAATTTGTCTATTCTAAATGTGTCGTAAATCTTAAAAAACCAAATTATAAGAAACCGATTACCAAACTGAAGCAACCAAATCGAAATTATAAATAAATGGTGTGTGAATGATGCGATAATTAACCTAAAAATGTTATTTTTCTTGTTTATATTGTAGAATGTTTAGTTGGATTTCGTACTTAAAGTTAAGGCATATATTTAACAATTAAAAGTTATCTAGAGAGTTATCGATACATATCGGGGTATCGATAAACATTAGTTGTATTTCAGTTTAATTCGATTAAAAGTTATCGATGCAGTCGACTTAGGTTATCGATAAATATATGTTAATATATATATATATATATATTTAGAGAGTATATGCTGCATAGTCATCGACTTTTTACTCTCTTTTCAATGTGCTTCGCACTCATCTCGTGTCCAAACCCTCTCGAGCTGAACACGTGATTCTGATATTGTTTCATTAGACAACACTGGACGGTGGCAATTAACTTCTGACGCAAACCGTTTAAATTCATCATCGAATTGATTAAAATCAACTCGTCATTCTATATAGCGCACAATTGTCTGCACATACATACACACATGCATGCATACATATCGTATGTGGTCATATCTACATAACGGACATTGGGGGTGACGTCAAAGCTGACCAGTTTGAACTGCAAATTCCTAAGCCTTGCTAACACACACTCACACACTCACTCGCTGAATAACTGTATATGCACAGTTACTTGGCCATGTGCCGCTTTTTTTTTTTTGAAGAGCAACCGAATGTACATATGTATTTTATCAGCCAAATGGCTTATCGCAGTTACGAGTAACAAGTACTTTTGTTGGCAACACAAATAAGGAAAGGCTAATGTGATAATAAATTTGTAGGCTTGTTGATTGTTGCCCATGCGAAATGATAAAGCCGCAATCTTATCAGTTGTTTTAACGAGCCAACGGACATAGTCTTTATGTGCCTGCATGTCAACACAAAACTGGGTGATTAGACATGTGCACACACACACACACACACACACGCACACACACGCACACATACATATACGTATATGTACATATGAGCAGAGATGTGATTATTTGCCTTCCCTTTTCAACTGACACTTTTTATAGCAAATTAAGCGCAAAAAGCTTGCAGACAGCACAATTTCATTTACAAGCAACAAGAAGTCGCCCCGTCTCCCTCGCACCACGCTACTGTAAGCATATTCGTCTGTTGCTGTCACTCTGGACGGCACTCAAACACACACGCACACAAATTACATTAACATAAAGCATATTGTGCAGCGCAGAAGAGAATGGGACGCCGAAAAGTATTATAAATTTATACAACACCAAAAAAAAACACACCTTAACGGCTCACGCTTACCACACACACACACACACACACACACATATATATATTCTCACTCTCTGCCTCTCAGTCTCCGGCTGTTGGACTCTCTTTTTGTCTAGTTATACACTTGCAAGCCCCAAACGTTTAACCGCTGCGGCTGATTGTTCTTCTTCTTCTTCTTGCTGTTGTTGTTGTTGTCGGTGACACGAAATTTATAGTTTATTGCTTGTTCATGTAGCATAGTTTTTGTCGCATTCCTTGTGCCAAATAGAAGAGGAAGAGCATGCAAAAGCGAGCGCCAACTAAAACTTTATTTAATCAAATTTATGGCTGCCAGCACACATACATACATACACACATGCATGCATACATACATATGCATGTCTTACTCGCACTGCCGCGCAATCGTGACATATTGTTATTGGCATTTGTTCGCCTGTGTGTGTTCGTGTGTGTGTGTGTGTGTGTGTGTGTGTGTGTGTGTGTGTGCTAACGCTCATTACATTTTCATTTGAAATTTTCGTTTTGGTTTTATTATTTTTTAATGAACGCATTGAGCTTTGGTGCAACAAATGGCCCCCTTTGTTATTGTTGCAGTTGAACATGTTCTAGCCAAAGGCAATTAAAATATTTACACAGAGAATTTGCGAAAAATATATAAAAAAAATCATAAATGCCGCTACAACGAACACAAAGTGCGCTCATACAGAGAATTTTCAACAAGCAATAAGAAAGAAAAAAAAAACACAGCAAAATTAATTAACACGAAACAAAATTGATTGCGCCTATATTATGTAATTGTCTGTGTGTACGAGTGTGTGTGTGTGTGTGTGTGTGTGTGTGTGTGCTTTTATTTTTAGCAGGCGTTGTGCACGTGAAAGCACACAGTTTGAGAGCCATGTTGTAAATGATTTTTAATGACACTGGTGAGCGCAATTTGGTGTTGAAGGTTAATCAAAATAGGAAAAATAAAATACATTTTATAAAAATAACTAAAATAAACACAGTGATTAATGTGATACAAAGCGCCAAGTGCATACAGCACAGCATGCTTATGGGCCTTCGCTGAAAAACGGCAAAAACGATAAACTTGATACTCTGTGCACTGCTTGTGTTATCGATACTTTTTGTGCGAACAGTTCATATCGATTAAATCAGTCAAAAGGATATTTTTGGTTATAGAGTTGCCGAGTCAAAAAACGTATAAAGCCTCGATACTGCACACAACTAATATACTCCTTTGTCCGTTTGCGAACAGAGCATAAAATCAATTATTTCAAATATTTGATTTCTTTGTACTTCGCTTAATACTTTTCGTGTCTGTGAGTATCATGTCTGTGCAGGCACACACACACACACACACACATCGATCGAATTGATCGGTCAGTGAACGCACAACGTGAAATTCATTAAGTGAATTGCACGAAACGCGCCATTTAAATGCAAAACAAATCAATTCAATGAACAAAAAAATAATCTTAATAAAAGAATCAACAACTGCAACAACAACAACAACAACAACAGTTGCTGCAAAACAAATACGCATAAAGCGCAAATGCAAACAGAGCGAACGAGAGGGCAGACCAGCGACAGCACGCACGTTAAACAAGAAGGGGGCGCTCTGTTGCTGCGCTCTGCACTTGACAGAGTGCTGTTAACGAGATGGGTGGGGAGGGCAGGGGGGGCACAGCCCTTGTAGAGAATATGAGCAAAACTAAGTGCCAACTAGCCATTACGGTTATCATGCTTATCATAAACAGACAGACAGACAGACAAATTTATAAACAGTTACATAGTATATATAAATATTTAAATACGCAACCGAGTTACTCGCTAAAACAAACAAAAGCGTTTTTAAAACGGGCTGTGGCATAAAAGAATAATATCAGCATTAGCAGCTACGTCGACAGCGACGGCGACTTCGACTGCGACGGCGACTGCGGCGCTGCGACGTCGAGTCATGTGTCAGGGCAGAGCATGTGTGGCTGTGTGCCTTGTGCGTGTACACATGCGTGTGTGTGTGTGTGTGTGTGTGCGACATGCTGCTGGCTGCTGTAAATTGAAATAAAAAATTGTTTGTCTATTTTAAAATTAGCATTAGCAACCAAAATGAAAATGACTAGGCGTCTGAGCGTCCGTGTTCTATACACTCACTACCTCTCTGCATCCCCCCGCTCCCCCTCTCCGACTATCTCTCACACTCTCACGTGTGTGTGTGTGTTTGTGTATAAAAGTTTTGCAGTTTTTGCCCACAGCAACAACAACCAGTGCTGCCAAGTTGACTAGTTTTCCGCCTAATCTGGCTTTAATCTAGCTTATGGCGGAACATTTGGAATTGGAAGCTTTTCAAAAGTTCCAAAATTGCAGACGCTATTTATTATATTTAAATTCGAGTTATGGCTTCTCAAAATTAAGCATATAACTAAATGAATAACATTGCTTTTTTTTTTTTAAACGTAATCAAGCTAAATTAGCTTCTGAAAAATGGGCAGCACTGACAACAATATGCATTAAAATTGTAAACGTATTTGAGCGCAAGAACTTGAAAAATATATTTGATTTGTATTTTGTTGGCTTTTTTCTGGCAATACACATTAAAGATTTAAGCAAACAAACATTAACAAAACACTTGTTTAACGTTTTCAAGTATGTTGAAAGCCCAAAAAAACAAAAACAAAAATCAAATGATATATATGCTGATATTTAGTTTGTTGTTGTTGCTGTGAATTGCTACGTCAGTCTGCGGCGACTTGTGTGTGTACATAAGTATTCTGTTTGCCTTGCAGTTGTCTAATTAAACGAAATAAACATTAGCTAAATTTAATTTCCAGCTCTCTCAAGCGATTTAACTTGAACCAATACTCGATTACCGCACAACAGTTGAACAGCCACTGGAGCGTTTGACTGGCTCTGTTGTTGATCGCAGCGCGCACAGTTTGAGCAGCCGCGGACCGCAAACGTCAGCTGGCTAGGCTGGCGCATTGCTGATACAATAAATAATGCAGAGAAAACATGTCAGACAGTTTTGAATATTTCATACGGCCTTCTTCTTCTTTTTTTTTTCGTTTTTTCTGTTTTCTGCCCGTGCCAGACATTTATGTCAATTATTATTGGCTTGGCACAATTGAAACCAACGCAAATTGATTCGAAGAAAACTAAATGGACACTAATACACACATACACACACACATATATATATATAT